CGCCTTTTCCTTCCCCACGCTTGGAGACGTCGCCGAGGCGACGCGACGTCGCCGAGTTTATATATATATATATATATAATCATATATATATAATCTGAAAAAGGCGACGTCGCCGAACGTCGCCTTTTTTCTAAAATATTTATATATAAATATAAATAAATAAATATAAATATAAAAAATATATATATATAATTTTATTTTATTATTATTTTTCGTTCCGTTCGGTAGCGGGCGGTCCGCGCACCGGTATGCCGTCGGACCGGTATGTACCGCCCGTACCGGGTGGTATCATTCGGTATTGCCTACCTTGGTATCGAGTATGAAGTGGTATCCAAAAAAAATTCTTTCCAAGAGAATACTGTTTCTTGAAAAGCAATTGTAATCTTTGGTGTCATTATCTATAATGTATTAGAATATCTATCTTCACAATGGTAGTGTTGCCCTTGCTGGAGGTTAAGCACACATTTGACAGAGTTTGCATTGTGTCAGCACTTATGGCATAGCTTTTCTAGTTCAAGATTTTGATGCCACTCTTTTCTGTAATTGTAATTGATATCCAGCCTAAGAATTTTGAGTAGTGGTTGGTGTGCGATCTTCATATCTTTGCTGAAGATGTCCAATGAAATTCTTTGTTACTGATCTGCATTATATTTTTGATCATGCTATTAATTTTGTTGTGTGAAACTTACTGCTCAAAAGTTTTACTTGTATGAACAAACTCCAAGCAATTTCTAGTGTTGATTCTTATTAAATTGCTTGTTTAAGTTTCATTTCTATTTACTATCATGTCCTTATAAATGAGGATTCTGTATTTAGCGTTTGTCTTTTTCTGAACTTTGATTTTCACAAAATTTTCTATGTGACATGCAGGTGAGGTGGTAATTGTTGCTTGCATTGTGCTCATTGGCCTTTTTGCTTTACAACACAGGGGTACACAAAGAGTAGCCTTCTTGTTTGCACCTATTGTTATTGTTTGGCTTTTGTGCATTGGTATAATTGGTTTGTACAATATCATTCACTGGAACCCCAAAATATATTATGCTCTGTCTCCACACTACATTGTTACGTTCTTCAAGCAGACAGGGAAAGATGGTTGGATTTCTTTAGGTGGTGTACTCCTTTGTATCACAGGTAAATGACAGGGAGCAGATTTAATACTTTTGGTCATTAATGATTCCATATTTTTGTCCATGGCTGTGTTATTCATCCACATTTTCCTAAATATACAGGTACTGAAGCTATGTTTGCAGATCTTGGTCACTTCACTCAAGCATCCATTAGGGTATGATAAGCTCAATTTGTTTTTAAAGTTTTGATGGATATTGAGATATAATAATTAGATCAAGTCAAAAGTTTGTATGATAAATACCATCAATTAAAAAGCAATTGAAATAACTGAAATATGCTTCTCATTATCAGAATAGTTAAAGTGAAAGGTGAGTTTTGTAATATCAAGAAAACTTTACATCATAATGATAGGTTTAACCATGACATTCAAGCATGCACCAGAATGCTTGCTTGACTAACAGGCCAAGGGAACTAGGCGATGTTCACTTTAACCAAGTTTTTGCAATTAGCACCATGATATATATATATTATTTTACTGTTAATGTCAATTAACAGTGAACAATAACTATAATTATTTTTATATTGGGATAGTAAATTCCTATTACTTGTTCAGATTGTATTGGGGGATGGCCATACTATTTTGTAGTGAGGATATCAACTGTCCTATGTTGTATTTCAAGTTATGTATCTGATGCTTTTTGGTGATACATCATGCTCTGAGACATATTGAGTGCATATGGTATTCTTGTCAGTCCGTTGGTCGACTCTACGCATGGAAACCTCAATGTGGCACACATTTGTTGGAATTTAAAATAAAACTAGAAAACCGTTTGATTAGATTTGCAATTATCATCAAACTTCTAACTGAACTTTTTCTGCTGATGTTACTCATGGATTTTAGTTACCCATAGAATTGAATGTGTTTTTGCAATTATTTAAATTTTTGTATGATCGTTAAAATTGAACAGTTTTGTGTTGATTGAGGTTTGAATTATGCTTATTCATAGAGAACTTATAGGATTATAGACTTTTTTTAGTTGTTTTTAACTTCTCTCCAATTCTTTACTTTTTAGAACATGATAGTTTCCTTATTCTTGGCCACTTAATTTAGAAATCTGATTTTTTGTATCAATAATGAAAATTCTATCACTTGCTCATATTGGACATAGTATCTCTGGTTAGGCTTTTTGCAATGACTATTATATCTTTAAAATGAGGCATATTTATATTATAAAACTTATAGGTGATTACGTATTTTGAAATGGTTTATCTGCATCGTTTTTGAAAAATATCTAATTCTTATATATTAGGATTTCATTTCATTTTTTCTGGCTGGTAGTTGGTGTAGAACTCATGGAGATGTTGTAAAATGTGTGGGAACTCATGCATAATAATGTATGGGAGTCTTCTGTAAGCACATTATGATTTTGACATCTACAATGAATTTCTACCTCTCAGAATCCAATTCTCTAATTATGAGTCGATCCATATGACAATTTCCCTGTTGCCTAATCTATTGTCTATATATAGAATTGCCTTTATGAATCAAGGTATAAGCTAATCCATTGTATTCAACATTGCCAAGCGCTAGAAGCTCTAAGGGTGCTAAAACACCCAAGACACTTGGTTCTTGCTAATATAATATTAAAATTTTAAAAATATATCTAAGTAGTAATATGATCACTAATATAAAAATGACAGAATACATAAGTTTTAGTGGTGATATTTAAAATATCACCATTAAAACATCAAATTACATTCATTTAAAGTAGCAAGACACTAGCTATGACCAAATTCAATCCTTGTAACAATCCTAGGCTATATAACAAAAAAAAAAACTATTATTAACAATGATTAACATTACAAAAGAAAAAAATAGAGAAGCATGGGGAAGAAATAGAGAGTGAAGCAAGGGAAGGGCTGTCATTTGGGGATAAGAGTAGGATGGTTTGGGGAGGGGGGCTACCAAGGAGGCAACGACAAACAAGGAGAAAGAGTAAGAGCGCTCTAGCGGGAGGAGGGGGTGCACCACCAGTATCGATCACCTTACCTGCTAGGGAGAGACAGGATCCCATAGGATTCCAAGGGTCGTGTGGACATTGGGGGTTGGGTAGGGTGTTCTTTGTTTTAGTTGAATAACCGGGCCCAGGCATGTTCCTTGCCTGGGTGCTTAAGCGAGCTCCCGATTGCCCGAGCTAATAACTATTAAAATACCAGGGGAAAAAGAAAATATTTAAATTTGGGACATCATTGTTATTTGGTTGTTTGTTTATTAGAAAAATAATTTGCTCAATGTAAGAAATTTTACTTGAGAAGTCGAGGCTTGAAAGACATGGACCTGTTGGAGTTTTCCAGTTTTAATTTGTAATCAGCTAACCTCAAGATTTCTGGAGAATCTGGATAGACTAGACTGGAACATTTTACACTTTGTTTAATAATCCGATGTCAAGACAGTTAAAATATTTTAACTTGTTAAAGCAATTATTTGTAAGCAACCTTCTAAACCTGTCTACTAAGAAGATTCTAATTTTTTTGTTGTATAGCACAAGCCAATGTTACCTATTTAAGGATTTAATAACCAGTTGGACCAATATGTATGGATTAATGTATACCAAGCTGATCAATATTTGTGTTGAAACATGTCTTAATATTCTTACATATGTATTTATTTTTAATTATTTTATTCCATGATATCAGGTACAAGTGAGTATACTGCCCAGTATATCGGATACCATATTAGCCCTATAGATGACTGAAAACATTATCAGTAAGTCTTTGAGTCTTTGACCTTAGTCGTATCTTTGTCAGGACAAAGTCCATATGCCTGAAGTCTCTCAGTATTTGTTGATTTGGGCTATGTTAAAAACAATAACGTTGAGCATTGAATGCCAGTTTTAAGCCTAGATGCATGGATAATTTTTGGTTGAGATTGGCCTAACTTAGTTTTCAGTACTATGCTTGAAGAATGGGCAACAAACTATTGCAAAACATGCTATTTACATTGATTTTATTAATATATTATTTATTTTTATAATTAATAAACATCTAGTACTACATTATTTCACCCATTAATTTATAATAAAATCAAGAATTTTACCTCCAAAGATTGACAATGAAATAACAGCAACAGTAGGGAAGCCGTAGAGGCCCAATTGGCCTTTTAATTCAAAAAAACCTAATCCTACCTCTGGAATTGGACTATACGGTCAGTCCTATTTGCAGCTCTTTCTGCCTTTAAGATAATAGGCTTCTTATAACTCCAAAAGTTTTCGGAGTCGATCAGCGCATTGTCACAAACAAAATTGTAAATGAGGTGTTTGATGTAATGCTCATATATGTCTGTGCCTTTCGGTTTTATTCATGCTTTGCACAGCATGTAAAGGGCTGACAATAGGCTTAGCAGCCCCATTTTGGTTGGTTTTGGTGGTCGTCTTAGGCTTGCAAACAAAGGTTGTGACATGTGGGCATTTGTGGGGATTTCGGTCTGTAGTGGACCATTTTGGATCCTTTGTTGTACAACCGTTTAGAGCTTGTGAAGTCTATGTTTGTAATTTGCATTGGCTATAAAATGTTTGCCAAAATAGTTACTTGTGGATCCCAAGTGAAACGTTTTCTCTAACCTGTTTTCTCTTTGTAGGTCCTAAGGGATCATAGGAAGTTTCGGGGAGGTTGACCTTTGCGGACGAACATGCAAGGGTGCCGTACAATTTAGGCAAAACCAGTTAAGTTCGTGACATTTGGTATCAGAGCAGAACAAGCACACTTAGAAACACTTGACATGCATACGTAGGGGACCTAGCTAGGCTGCGTTGAGGGTAGCCGACACGCTTTGGGTGAAATAGGCATAGAAATGTAGGGAAAGGAGTCGCTAAGAGGAGCGAGTATCTGAGGTTGGCATTCAGAGGAATGATCAACCTTTCGCGCGAGAGGCACCACGAGGACAAGCAAGCTGGAAAGAAGGCATAGCGCACAAAGGTTGGGATGGTTGAGTTCGAGTTACGGCTCGACGTTAGCAACCATACTTGACGATGCTCAAGGCAAGTGGGGCGCTTGGTAAAGGATGAGATCGTGTAAAGTGGAATGGGTTGCTCAGCGGTCGAAAGAATTGTGTAAAGCTCACAGAGGCGAGGGGAATTACTAACTTGAAGAATTCGGTACTCGTGCAAGGGCTTGTATGCGGACGATGGAACATTCGTGGCCATCCCTAGGTGATCGAAACTTGACGCCATGGAGCATTGAAACTTTCTTTTCAACATGAAATGGATACGTTCGTAGGAGGCTGAAATATGCAGCGAGTTCAACATGTTGTTAGGCCTTGAGAGGTGTAGCGAGGGCTGTATTGGCGAGGAGTCGCAATCTAGCAAGTGCGTTTGTGGGAGCAAAACAATGCACAGTTTGTTCAACAATGCGGAGTAGTTCAAGGGGATGGTGGTCTCCAAAACTTCCAGAGGGAAGAGGATGCAAAGAGAAAAGTTGCTCCAATGGGATAGATATCCAAGAGGGATAAGTCTTGATTCTCCAGAGGGAGAATCATATGTAATAGACCGGATATGTTGAGGAGTACCTTGAGACAACAATTTCACAAAGATCAACGGACTGAGCGAGCGGTGACGAGTCGTCGCATGATCTCGCATGAGGTAATGCATTGGTTGATGCATTGCGAGATCAAGTCGGGGGAGTGACCCAAGACAACACAAAATAACGGCATACTTGGAGCCGATATGGAGATTAGATTCAACGGAGGGCTGACCTGTGGAATGGTGGGCGCGAGGGCCACCATTAACTCAATGCAATTGAGTAGCGGAGTAACTTGGGTGTAACTTGGTGAAGTACCCAAGCCGCATAAAGGGAGTTAGCATAGAAGATAGAACATGGAGCGGAGGCACGAAGCTTTCCTTAGACAAAGGTCAAGGACATGAACTCTTGTAGAGACGAGCGGGATCATGTTATTCCATGGGTTACTGATTCTAATGGAGCAGACTTATCTTGCATAGTGCCAAAGACGAAGGGAGCTTCGAGGCACATACACCTTATCTCAGAGAAGCATTTGACGGAGGAACCAAGGTGACTCAACTTGCGGAGGCGAAGTTGGGGTCAGAAGGCCTTGGCACGGGGCAACAGGACACAGAGGCGGGTACTCTTGAAGAATACGCCATAGTGCTGCCATTCGAGTTGCCATGAAGGAAGCGGTACGTACCGGAGATTGTGCTGGTGAGGGCAGAAACCCAGGATCCAAACAATGATGCATCAATTTCAGCGAAGTCAGTGGACTTCGGGAGCTTCTAGGCGATGGACCATCATAGAGTTGTGCTTCGTCTGAGTGTGGCTCGAGAGTGGGTGGACGAAGGTCAATTGCCAAAGGAGCTAACATAATAGAAGGTGGAAAAGGCCTTGCGATGTACTGGCAAAGGCCACACATGGAGGGATCGCAATCCGAGTTCATTCCATAATGATCAGAATGTAATGGAGATGTCACTAAGAGGCGACATGGTGTAGCAGACCTTGGTGGAACAATTCGTGGCAATGCGATACACACGAAACCAGTCTCGCGAGGGATTAGATCATACGGAGGTATGATCGGGAGCTATTGTGAGCTTCACTTTGGTTAACAACATGACAACAAAAAGAGCTATGGATTCAACGAGTGAATGCCATGGTACCGCAGAGGCGGGTCTTTCGTGTGTGCATCGAATTTTGTATCGGATGAAAGCCTTGGTCATCAGCATATGGGGGCTGTGTACCACCGAGGGGGAATTCTAAATGCAAGTACCAGTGAGTCCCATAGGGGGGACTTGATCATGCAGAGGTGTGATTATAGCACCTGGAGAGTTGGATTGCTCTAGAGCTCATATTCGCTTAAGGGAACCCGGCAAGTCGGAGGACAAGACCGAGTAAGCAAATGTTGCTACCAACGAAGCTAAGGAGAACATAATCGTGCGAGCCTTGCAATATGATGGTGAAGGCCATGCATGAGAGTTGCAGTCTGTCTTTCCATCGACCAAGGGGAACTACTCGGAGAACACAAAGGTGTTGAAGCAGGTGATCGAAATGGGCAAGGAAGCGACGACGAATCCAAAGGGACTTATCTACCCAAAATCAAGCATCAGTTGGAATGAAGGTGGGCTCGGAGGAGTGCCATAGTGTCGCGAAAGTGGATCTACCGATCGCAAAGAAAGGGACACAGATGCGAGGCGACGTATAGTAGGGTCATGGGCATGGCAGCGCCATGAGACTGTAGAGGTGAGATTTCCGTGGAGTCGTCGATCCCTCCCTCTTATGGAGGGAGAGCGCTTAGTCGTGAAAGGGGCCGAGGAGGTGAAGAATGCAGAGGCAAACTCCAAGTACCAAGATAAGGCTGAAGGGCAGAGGCCATGAAACTTCGTTAGATCGGTGTCAACGAGCTTCTTATCAAGATAGCCGAAAGTGGAGAACTTCAGGTCGATGCAAGAGTGCTTGACCAAGGAACGAAATAGGTAGTACGCGGTGCTGTACCTTTGCTACTCAGAGGAGTAGGCGACAGAAATGATGGAGAAGACGGTATAATCTCAAAGGCAACCAAAACTATTAGAGACTTACTCCAAGTTGGGGTGAAAACTTCATGCATTCCAGAAGTTCGATGACATTAAAAAGGTGAATCACAGTAGCTAACTTAACATAAGGAGTGCAAACACTTCGAGTGCTTCGGAAGTGTGAGCAAAGAGCGGGCGAAGGCTAGTAACCAGCTCGATGTAGTACAACCCTCGAGGAGACGGGCGAAGTCAAATAACCTTTACCTTATCAACTCTTAAGAGAATAGGCGAAACCGAGTATCCCAATTCTCTTATCTATCCAGTAGAGGAGCTCTGCATAGGTTCTAAGACCCTTCGAAGAAACCCAAGTAACTTTTGGCATCAAATCCACTTTTGACATCAAAACCACGTACAAATTTTTTTTACAAGTGTACTTGCCATTGGAAACTTTTGATGAATCTGGCATTGGCTAATGCTTTGTCATTGGCTAACTTCAGGGAGGGAATGTTTTTCGTGGTATCTTACAACTGTGGTAGAGCTACTTATATCTAATTTGTGTGGATGCAACAACCTCAACTTTGTAACAATACACAAGCATTTAGATGCATGATAGCAATTCAACTGCCCCTACTTTGTATTAAGAGGTGTGAGTTCGAACATTTGTTACTAGCCAAGGTAAGCTAAGTGAACCATTTGGATTTTTGTGCTGAATAGTTCTTTGATTGCATGACCAGTCTTGAGGAATTAAAGATGCCTGTTGCTGTTATTCATCTAGATAGTACAATAACACATGATAGTGATAGCAATGCTACTTACCTCAAGTAAGGAAACTGACATGGGAAAGGTTTGTATAGTCTCCATAACATTCTTTGGTCCTTGTGTGGTGATGTATGAAGCAACATATATATTAACTCAGTAGAGAACACAGTCAATACCAATTAAAATGTCTCAGAAACATGGTCCCTGGTCTGTTTAGAAATCAATTTATCGGGAATTTCATCAGCTGATTTTTGTGTCAATTGAGAAATAAGGTACTATCCGCAAAGCCGCAAATGTTGCTTCATGCTTTTGATGAGGCGAGATTTACTGAGTGACTTGCCTAGTTGACATTAATTTAGACTTGCCCTTTGCTAGTCTGATTACCTTCATGAATAGACCAGCCATCTTGTTGATTAGATCTTTGCAAAATGTAGGTTCTTAAGGATGTAAAGTCTCATATTTTTGTTGGCTAGAAAAAATAGATTGAACCTTTGAAAAAGAATAGTATTAGCTAAAGATGGAGATAGTGACTGGGGCTTTTGCACTAGATCAATAGAAAGTTTCTTTAAGATACCATACTGTTATAACTGCTTTAAACATCCAAGAAACAAAATGCTATTTATGTAGATGTCAGAAGCAGAAAAAAATGTCTTTGTTTGGTTTGAAAGTTCCTAGTGTGATGAGTGGTTGGTAAAACCTTTCAGAGGGCTGTTGCTATGTCCACTAACCTGCAATAAACATTTTTATTTCCATGTGGGAAATGTCTAATCATGTTTTGATTGTCTCTAAGCTTCTCAAATTACATGTGAACTTAGCAACAGAACCTGTTTGGCCCTCTGTGCAGAGGGCATGTGGTTAGATGGCACTGTAGTCAAATGATGGTACATTGAACCTGAAGAAACATAAAGCATGCTGTTCCCACGTCTAATGTTGGGTGAGCGAAGCAACTAGGGTACCCTCGAAGGATGACGATCTTGAGTTCTGTTATTACAATTTATTCTTGCCATGTTAATTGTCCTGTACCGCACCATGTTTTGGCCAACTATGTAGCTTACGACTGCATATTACCAGTCCCAATCCGGCAATTTGCCAGCTTGTTTTTGCATATTTTGCTACAAACTTGCCTGACAGCTTTGACAGCTTCTTGTGCCTTATGTGCTTAAAAAATTGCAGATCAGCATTTGATGTTACTGGCTTTAAATTCTATATTCTAACCTATCAACTATTCATATTGTTACATGTTGAATCTTCTTCAAACTTCTATTTTCAGGTAGCATTTGTCGGTGTCATATACCCATGTTTAGTACTACAGTACATGGGGCAAGCTGCATTTATTTCTAAAAACTTCTCTTCCTTACCGACCAGCTTTTATGAATCTATACCAGGTAAGTTATAGTATGGTGCAGTAACATTCAGCGTTGATAGAGTTCAAGCTTGGCCAGTAATTTTGCCCTTTTTCTTTGTATTCTCTTTTGTTGCAGAACCTGTTTTTTGGCCTGTTTTTGTGGTGGCCACTCTTGCCGCTGTAGTTGCTAGTCAAGCTGTGATCTCAGCAACATTCTCAATTGTCAAGCAATGTCATGCTTTGGGTTGTTTTCCTCGTGTCAAGGTTGTCCATACATCTAGGTGGATCTATGGTCAGATATACATACCTGAAATCAACTGGATCCTTATGCTCCTTTGTCTTGCTGTGACACTTGGTTTCCGTGACACTACTCTTATTGGAAATGCCTATGGTGAGTCAGCTTATAATACAATTCAGCATTAGTGCTAAAACAACAGTTTTTAAGCTTAAGCCATATTTTATTAAAGTCCATTGGTTGTTTAGAGTTTGAGGATATCATGCGTTCACATCATCTGCATATATTCATTTTTATTACAGGTACTTCAACTTATCGACGAATGTTTCCACTAAAAAAGAGATGCCTAGCTATTATTTTGAACCAACAATATAAAATCATGCTTATTTATTCAGTACCACCCTAAAATGTATCTGTCATTGTCTGTGGGTGTGACTAACATTAGTAGCAATCCTCTGGTAATAATGGTTATTTTCTTCATGATTTCAGGTATAGCATGTATGACAGTGATGTTTGTGACAACATGGATGATGGCTCTTATCATCGTCTTTGTATGGCAAAAGAGTACCATCTTTGCGTGTTTGTTTCTTCTGTTTTTTGGATTTATCGAGGCTGTCTATCTCTCCTCTTCAATCATTAAAGTTCCCCAGGGAGGGTGGGCACCTCTCGTGCTCTCCTTTATCTTCATGATTATCATGTATGTCTGGCACTATGGCACCAGGAGGAAATATCTCTTTGACTTACAAAACAAGGTCTCAATGAAATGGATACTCACGCTTGGCCCCAGCCTTGGAATAGTTCGCGTGCCTGGAATTGGACTCATTTACACAGAGCTGGTTACTGGAGTACCAGCTATCTTCTCCCATTTCGTAACCAACCTCCCTGCTTTCCATCAAGTTCTCGTCTTTGTTTGCGTGAAGTCGGTTCCAGTCCCATATGTTCCCCCAGATGAACGATACCTTATTGGCCGTATTGGTCCTAGAGCTTATAGAATGTACAGGTGCATAGTTAGATACGGTTATAAAGATGTTCAGAAGGACGAAGACAATTTTGAGAACCTACTGGTATTGAGCATTGCCAAGTTCATTCATATGGAAGCTGAGGAAACATCCTCTGGGAGTTACGACGCATCTCCTGACGGAAGAATGGCTGTTATTCAAACTTCTGATACATGTGGCACGACACTGGTGATGAGGGATGCTGATCAGTATGCAGGTGACTCTGCCATGATCAGGAGTAGCAAATCAGAAACACTTCAAAGCTTGCAGTCATTGTACGAGCAAGAGTTGCCAAGTACAAGCCGCCGCCGCCGGGTCCGTTTTGAGTTGCCTGAAGTAGAGTATATTGATCCTCAGGTGAAGGAAGAGCTACTGGCATTGGTGGAAGCCAAGGAAGCTGGAGTTGCTTATATCATGGGACACTCATATATAAAGGCAAGGAGGACATCATCTTTCTTGAAGAAGTTTGTCATTGATGTCGCCTACTCTTTCCTCCGAAAAAACTGCAGGGGCCCTGCGGTGGCTTTAAATATACCTCACATCAGCCTTATCGAAGTGGGTATGATCTACTATGTGTAGTTAGTGCCTATTGCCAAACAGGGTAAGCATGATTTTGATGGTAGCAGTGGCCATCGAACATGATAGGCACAACTAAGTTCAATGGCAAGAGGAAGGTTAAATTCTCGCTGCAACTTCAATAGGTTTAGATGTTGGTCTAATTGCATAATTTCAACAATGCTTGTACATATTTCTTATGTCACAAACTTACGCTACTATGAGCAGGGAACAGAAGTTGGTAGGGTCCATAATGTAGCTGCCATTTTATTGTGGCATATTTGTTTGTCTTGCAATGTCACCAGCAAATTGGATAACTCATGTTCTCTTAACTGCACTCTGATGGTGAATCAGAGAACCGTGATGAATGATGGATATTGTAGAAAGCTTTCTTACTTCTTGTAAAAATTGTCTAGTACAAATAAGTCTCTGTTAGGAATTAGGATGCAGCAGTGTAATGACTTTAGGTGAAGTCGATCGGGATAATTTGCAGATCTGTTTTGCTCATGGTCTTATCTTCTTCCTTTTTGGTTCGGTTCTTGTTGTTTCTTCTCCATTCCTTCTTGGTGATTGTACAGAGGTTTTGAAGTAGAAGCATATAGGCTTCATGGGGTGATATTTATCAATCATTTTGTTAGGAAAGTAAGAACATATCTATCAATCATTTTCAGTCATACTAACTTTGAGATGTAGTAGGCATCTCCATTTGTTGTCAACCAATGACACATTGCTTAAGATTATGGAAAGAGTGGTTATAGTAAATGCATGTACTAATTTTGTGCTTGACTTGAACTGTAGCTGCTGCTACCTGTAGAGTGTATTCGGTGTATGTGTGTGGTTTAACTGCAACAAACAGGGAGTTTAATCCTCACTAAATTGCACGCTAGTGGTCTGCTACTAATATCTTGCTCTCGTTATCATTCCATGTTTATGAGGTACATCCAAAATCTAATATAGCTGTTTATACTACATTGTGGTGCTGAAATCCTCCTCTTGTTAGATGTGAAAAATGGTGGGTTCTTACTATTTAATGTCTTAAATAGGCATTTGCTTAATGCCAATCCTAGTCACAACCTCGGAGAATATTTTTGGTAATCTTATAAGAAGATCTATTCGATCTTTTTTTTTTGACAGATGATTGGAATGATAAGAGCATTAGAAAATGATTGATATATTGTATCATTTTATTTTATTGTATATATGATATGATATACTTGTATAGGATGAATTAGGCCGCTTAAATATGATTTTATTTTTGAATAGAAATTTATTTTTTGGTTTATTTAATTTTTTTTTCCATGATCGGAACATGCAATAATCTTTGTTCTTCCAATATCAATTGGTGTATAAGGCTGAGAGTTGTTTCAGTACGCTACTTAGCCATAAAAGTGGTATTAATAACATTAGGTTAAATAATTTAGATCGATATTTCATATTTTCATCAAAATAATGGATTATTTATCTCATCGGATCGAATAATAATAACATATGATTTGAATTTAAAAATATATTTTAATTTCCACGAGAAGAACTCTTTAAGCTTCAACTCGATGATCGAGTCTTCTTTTGTGGGAGTAGATACCAGTAAATATATTGTCCTTCCTACCTAATCCTCAAATATTATTGACTTTAAATATATATATATATATATATATATATATATATATATATATATATATATATATATATATATATATATAAAAGAGTCAACAATGAAAAATGAGATTTGATTATAAGATATTACGATTCAAAGTCTTTATCAATTAAGTTAATCGGCGGGTTTAATACCAATAAATTTATCGGATAAAATTTTGAACTCTTTATTTTGAATAATTTAAAATTTTAAGCCGTAAAAGCAATTTATTCCTCCGAGTTTGATACACAAATGCTTTGGTTACAAAATAAAATGAATTAAAAATAAGATGGATAAAACAAGTCTATTCGTATATAATTAATTCTCTCACAATTTATTTTCGGAAAATAAATTCCGCGTCGTCTTCCTTTTCCGAAAATAAATAAATAAAAACAAAAAACGAAACAAAAAGATCGAGTCAAACGCGGAATCATTATTCTATCGACAAAATTAATTATTCAATCAAAAACACAAAAAAGGAAAAATTAGAGATTTAGTGACGCGCGGAATCGTTAATTTAATATCGAAAATAATCTTCGCCACCTTCGTCGGTTCGCCCTTCGAACTACCCATTCTTTTATTGGTCGGACTCGTGGGGCCCACTTGTGGTGGAGGGGTACCTCTACTTGCGTTCGGTGGATTGTTACGTACGATTCTCTTCTTCTTACATCAATCACGCTCGCTGACCTCCGCCTTCTCCCTAATTTAATTCGAACTCGGTGTTGGTTCTCTATTTAGCCTTCCCCCGTCTTCCCTTGGTTTTGTTCCGTCTGTCGCCAGGGCTCTGATCGGGTCCACCGTTGAGATTTCGAGCCGTGCGCCGTTCGTCGCCATCGATCGGAGAAGCGAGGGGGAGCTGTTGCCCGAGCTGTGATTCGTGGATTTATCGGGGAATCTTATCGGTGTTCCTCTAGTTATGATGAAATGTCTTCCGTGCCTTGCGTCGCCCGGCCAGGGCGATGCGGCGGACGAGGTTAAGGAGGAGGAGAAGAAGAAGAAGAAGAACGACGAGGGGGGAGATGGTGCCGTTCGCAAGGAGTCTTCTGCCGCCCCGACGTCTCGTCTTGGCAGTTTAGGTAAGAAAATTCGGATTATTGATGTTGTAGATTGTTCTTTTATGAGAATTCTGTGGATCCGATGCGCTTCCTCTGCCGCCCTTTTGGGGAATATTTGTTTTGTTTGCTTCGATCCTTCTCCTCTTCGGATCTGTGGAACTTCCGTTCGTGTCTTGGATTCGGGACATTCGATGCAATGAGACCATATTTTGTGAAGCTATTTGTGACGTTCTTGTTAGATAATTCTTTTCGCGTCTCGTCGTATGCGTAGATCGCTCGCTCCCGTATCTTGTTCTGTCGAAGGTACTAGATTTTGCCATTGAATTATTAGGATCCATAAGGCGATTAGAAGCTCATGTCATTGAATTCATAAGAGTAAATTCATGGGCGTTGTTGGTCTCGAACGAACGATTCTCGAGTTTTGATATTTAAGATTGTTACCCGTCTCTTGCTTTTTTAGCTTGCATAAATAAAGCTAATATCATAGACCAGCCATATTTTGGACGCATAATACCTGATTCGTTTATTATTGTGGATTGCTTGTGGTGCCAGACAAATCAAAATTGAGGGCTGATTCCAAGAAGGAACCATCGGTTCCCAAAGAAGGAAATCCTGAGCATATTGCAGCACAGACATTCAGTTTTCGTGAACTTTCTGCTGTCACTAAGAATTTTAGGCGAGATTGTTTTTTGGGTGAAGGTGGTTTCGGTCGTGTATACAAGGGAAGGTTGGAAACTGGACAGGTTAGTTTCTTTTGTTTATACTGCCTTATCCATGTTTTATCTGTCTGACAAGAATCTTGATCAATTTTAGATCAATTTTAGGCTAAATTGATCTACAATATTAAAGGTGCCTTGCATTATCAGCAAAAGTCTGTTTACGCATCTATTGTTATTGCAGAATAACCATTGACTTTTTTAAGTGTGATTGGAAACAATGGTTCCTGACAATTGACCATACAACTGATATTCATCGTTGCAGGTCGTTGCCGTCAAGCAACTTGACAGAAATGGTCTTCAGGGGAACAGAGAGTTTCTGGTCGAAGTCCTCATGCTTAGCCTTTTACATCACCCCAATCTTGTCAATCTGATTGGTTATTGTGCTGATGGCGATCAACGACTGCTCGTCTATGAGTTCATGCCGTTGGGATCATTAGAAGACCATTTGCATTGTTAGTTTCCTTTGTCGCTTATCTTACATTATTTAGTTGTTTTTATCCTTCGTTGCCCTTAATTCTGCAGTTGTAGTTCTAGAATTAAATGTATAAAGTAATAATTGTCTATTTATGAATGACAGGGATGATTTGTAAAGAAATAGTTGTTATTCCATCATCTAGCCTGAGCTAGAAGGATCTTGGTGCCTTAAATGAATGCTTAAAACTCTGAGGTGCTATGGGCCAATTGAAGTCAGGCTTGTCAAGATTCAAGTTGTGATAGCCTTGGAAGTTCCAAACCCTTATTGAACTAAAATATGCAAAATCATACCTGCCTTGTTTTGTTGTCCTTGATTAGGTTAAACTAGACTGTAATGTTTGAGATTTTAAATCTTCTGGGTAAAGCATGCCATTGATCTTTTTCTCCATATCCTCTTTGCTTGTTTACCATTCTCCATGTCATTCACTCCTCCCCAAAGTTGGTCATATATTTCTATCAGAATGGTATACCCATGGTGACCAACCATCCCACTCACATAAGAGTGATTGATCTAGCATTCTGTAACAGCCAATGAATAGTTTTTGTGCTAAAGCATCAACCTGAAAAGAAAATTGTCTACCTGCCACATGAAGCTGCAGGTCAACATGCCACATGCAGCATCAAAGGCAGTGCCAAGGGAAAATTCATTTATGTTTGTGAAAATTAGAATGAGTATAAGATGTGGACTCATGACATAAAAAAGGAAAATTCTTTGGGTTGCTTGAAGACACATAATCCTTCTTTTATGCAATCTAAATCATGTAAAGTCTGAATCAGTGTAAAGATTTATATATATATATATATATATATATATATATATATATATATATATATATATATATATATATATATATATATATATATATTTTATATCATGATTTTCATAGTTCTGAAGATACTGTGATTCTGAATGATAGAATTTTAATTGTTTTGGAACCTGAATTGTAGAAAGTTTTCTCCATAATAAACTTATGATGTTGTCGTTTCTTCCATATGTTAAATTGGTACCTTTTCTTTTTCTCCTATTGCATGGAAATTGATCCAATTGAACAAACTTCATTCAACTGATTCTTCGTACTTCCCATCATGGAGACAATGTGAATGTTAGGATGTGACTAGGCTGCCCAAGTTTGTAGTAAAAGAAATCATGCCCAGTTTGTAAATACTTCATTGAAGTTTTAACATGCATGGACATCATTCTGGAAAAAAAAACTGCTTATGCATATGATTTTTGAGAATGGTTTTTATTTAGTTGAAACACATCAGCAGCTTGTTTACTTTCCCCTCTTCTTTTTCTTGCAACACAGGATTGCATTTTAACAATTTCGCAGGATCTATGACAGACCCTGATAAATGAGCTTGATATTATTTTCTCTTTTGTTTTTTAATAGATATCCCAGCTAATAAGGAACCACTTGACTGGAATTCCCGGATGAAAATAGCTGCTGGTGCAGCTAAAGGCTTGGAATACCTCCATGACAAAGCAAACCCTCCAGTTATTTATCGTGACTTCAAATCATCGAATATACTTCTTGGTGAAGGATATCATCCAAAGTTGTCGGATTTTGGGCTTGCTAAACTTGGTCCTGTTGGTGACAATACCCATGTCTCAACAAGAGTGATGGGAACATACGGTTACTGTGCTCCTGAGTATGCTATGACAGGGCAATTAACAGTGAAATCTGATGTATATAGCTTTGGTGTTGTATTTCTCGAACTAATTACAGGCCGTAAAGCGATTGATAATGCTCGGCCTACTGGAGAACAAAATCTAGTTGCATGGGTATGTTGCTCTCTGTTTTTTAAACTACATCTAACCTAGTTGACTTAATAGTAGGATTCACCTGAAAGCATATTATTTAGTAGTGTTATGGTTCAAATTTTGATTATCGAATTTTAGATCCCAGTTATAGTCATTATGGTTTCAGGATATGATCAATAAGAATTTGATTATATGTTGACCATGCAAACTTTTTCAGATTGAGATATTGACTAAAATTACAACCACTTGTTGATGGTCTGTGCAGGCTCGTCCATTATTCAAAGATCGTCGGAAGTTCCCCAAAATGGCTGACCCATTACTACAAGGGCGTTATCCCATGAGGGGCTTATATCAGGCACTGGCAGTTGCAGCAATGTGTTTGCAGGAGCAAGCGGCTACTCGACCTCTCATAGGAGATGTTGTGACGGCACTTTCATATTTAGCTTCACAAAATCATGATCCAATTGCAGCTAGTATTCAGAGTACCAAGGTTGGTCCATCCATCCCAAGTTCTAGAAGTGGGTCTGGTGATCAACATGCTGTCCAGTCACCGCATCAGAATTCTTCAGAACTAAAGCAAAGGGGTCCGCTCAAGGGAGCAAGTAAAGGTGCAAAAATTGGCAGAGATGGTTCTAGTGGTGGCTCGGGACGGAAGTGGAGCATGGAGGAGTCTGAGACTCGGGAGTCTCAGATGGATAGCCCGGTCCAAGTGGAGAGAGCGCGAGACTCTCCAAAGAATATTGATCGTGATTTTGTTAGGGAGCGTGCCGTTGCAGAGGCTAAAGAATGGGGTGAAAATTGGAGAGAGAGACAACGGAGAAATGCACAAGGTAGCTCTGACAGGACAC